GGATGGATGGATGGATGTATGGATGTATGGATGTATGTATGTATGTATGTATGGATGGATGGATGTATGTATGGATGGATGGATGTATGGATGTATGGATGGATGGATGGATGGATGTATGGATGTATGTATGGATGGATGGATGGATGGATGGATGGATGGATGGATGGATGGATGGATGGATGGATGGATGGATGGAAGATTTCCATAATACTTGGCAGCGGTTGAATTTGTTTGTGGAACACTGAACTACATCTTACAGATGGTATTATGGTGTTTTGATGTTTGTCATTGTATCTGTGGTCACGTTTAGTTGTTTTTATTGGGTTTATTTATGTAAATGGACTGTACTTCTATAGGACCTTTCTATCTGATCAAGAGACCATACCATTTTATTTATAGAGCACTTAAAACAGTGACAAATAGTCCCAAATAGTTTGTTGTTTAGGTAATTCAACAGTACATTTGTGTTTTTGTAATAATTCCTTACTTAACCACGAGGACAACGAACAACAAGCTGCTGCCTCTAACAGCAGGTTGGACACTTACTAATTACAAATCCTTTCGGAGTGGACAGACAACAGCATCTTTCACTTCAGTAAAACTTCAAGTCAAGCTCCAGTTTAAACAGAACACAACTTGATTTATTTTTTGTTTCTAGACAACAAACCACTTATAGATACATATAGAAACATGCGCACATGTTTATGATAAAGTGTGAAAGTAAAATCATCAGCAAGCAACTAGTTTGGATAATATCAGTAAAAACTTGGTAAAACAGAGGCCAGTGATGGGTGTCTGTGGTTTTCTTGCACTGGTTTCAGGCAAAAAGCTTGTTTTTGTCAGATGATAACCTCATGATGATTTCAGCATGCAACTCCAGACATTAATCTTTTATTGGAACAGTTTTTAGTTTTAGGCTTAAAACGAAATAACAAAAGCCACAAACTTATCTCAAATTAAATTCCAACCGTGTGACGTTAACTGGAACGGCAGCAGATGGGTGATATTTAGGTTGGCCTATTCAAACTTCTTTGGGTTTATCCAGAAATAACACGAATGCCAAAGAATCCTTGCATGCAGCAGAGACATGGCACACACGACGAGCTGCGAGCTCGTGCCAAACGTTCAGCATCCTCCTGTAGGAGAAGAACACACCCACACAGTCCTGAAGGATGAAGGATTTCAGTCCAAGCCTTCCTGCACGATTCGTCCATGTCTTGTTCTGTTTTTATCCGTCTTCGTGTACAAACTGAGGAAAACACATTCAGGCACAAAGAAACCCTCTTTTCGGTTTTCCTTCTCTCCCATGAGGCCTTCGCCCAAAACTGATGGGAGCAGAAAGTAAACAGACCTCAATCGGTGCAGTTAAATTAACAGCTGCGTCTGCTGAAGTGACAGATTCCAGGCAGGTTGCATCGATTCGACAAGATTTTATTGCATTCCTCACAGTGGAAAAGATTTTTATATTTAAAGACGGATCACACGCAAGTTTTTTGTTTGGATACCTTCAAACACAGACAATAAAGGGTTTCATGTTCTCGCCCATAATCCTTCTGATATTGGATCGTTTGGATGTTTTTATCTCTTCTTAGAAAAGATTTGATGAAT